TTATATCATTTTTTAGTTTTTATTTTTATATTTTATTTTATAGATAAATCTTGTTATCGCATGGTACTATACACTTATTTATCACACACTAATTTAATTGACTAATTACAATAATTATCATGAGGGATGCAATAAGCTTATTTATCACCTATCAATTTATATTACTATCACCAAATTTGAATGCAATATGTAATTTATCAGCTAATTACGATGATTATGAGAACTTATATTATCATTACCAAATTTGTGTGCAATATGCTAATTTATTACTTTTGAATTTTGATTGGCTAATAAACCAAATTTATTATAAGAGCAAAATTTTTATATATCGCACTTGCTAATCACAATTAATACTTTTATTATGTTATATAAAACATGTGATAGTCATTTTAAATATATTCAAAACAACAGTAATCTTTTCTAAATCAAATACATTAAACATGTTAGATATAACAAAAGTTAACTTAGATAAATTAATGAATACAATATTGGCATTTAAGAATTGCGAAGATAACTATATGAACCCAAACAATGCAAATTTCTCAGTTAATAACATAGACATAATTGGTAGTAATGGCAATAGAACTAGTGAAGTAGAAATGTTTGAACCACTTAATACATATAGAACTAGTGAAGTAGAAACATTTGAACCACCTAATACATCTAAACCATCTAAAACATCTAACACACCTGACACAAATAGTAAAGACTTTTTATGATTATTAATAAGGTTTTCATTTAATAATACAGTATAATCTAACACTAATAAAACTCTTTTGTTAGTAATTGTAGTATTGGAAAACATACCAATGGATATGACTTTCGGTTTATAGAATAAGGTTGAAGCCTTTTTTATAGATTATGGTGAAAGAAATAGTTTTGCTATCAATAAGTATAAAAAGAAGAGTACAAAAATAGAAGTAGTACAGAGTAGAATGTTTTGTTGTGAATTTTATAGTATATACAAACCTAAAAAAAGTTTATTAGCTGTACAAAAAGGAACACAATGCAACACAAGGACAAAAAAAAGAACTGCTATTGGTATTGCAATCTTTTGCTAAACTCAAATGGATTAGAAATTTAAATAACAACATTGGTCAACAAACATAATCACAATCCTATACCTGAAACCCAAAAGTTTGAAGTTAGATATTGAACTTTAAGTGAAGAAGCTGTTAAAGAAATTAAATTGATGTCAAAATATGGAAATCTGTCACTTACATTACAAAAAAGTTTTCTCAGAGCTTGCTTTTCAAACATGACTTTCCAAGACAGTGACCTTGCAAATACTATTAGTAAAATTAAAAGAAACACTAATCTTGATAAAGAAAAGATACCTCAAATTTACTTACTTCATTGATGGAAAAAAAATGATTAACCCCTAATAGTCCGTTAAATTCGAGCTAAATGAGGAAAATTGTTTGGCCAAACTCTTTTGGATGTTACCAAAACAAATCAATCTTTGGCTGAAATATTATGATGTTGTTATTAATGATAATACGATACAAACTAATCAATTTCAAATGCCCCTGTCTCTTTTCATCATTGTTGATAATAAT